TAGCACTTTTACAGAATTTTAGCGTGTCAAACTATTTGTGAAGGTGGGGAAGTTTTTGCAAAAAAAAAAAAAAGACAAATTCCATTTTGCATCCAAAGTGCTTAGTGTAGTTGTTTCAATATATATCATACTTGACTGTTAAAGAAACGGAAAAACCTGTGATGTCACAGCTTTCTGAATGCTTTGTGTCCTATTACAGTGTGTGTGTGTTTTCTCCCTTAAGACTTTTCACAAAATTTTTTCAAACCTTTATGATTGTTCTCTGGTTCACTTTTTGATTTTACTCCAAAGTAAAACCATTAGAAAGAAAAAAATTCTGGCCTACACGTGTTAACCTCATTTTACATAATTTATGTACATTTGCTGTCTGAATTAAACATTTATGTTTGGGTTCTTGGCACAATGCATAATTATTATAATGAATTCGTCTTCAGTGGCCTCCTCATTAAGTACATAAATATTTCATGTGTATGTTTGTATTAATGTGTATCATTGACCACAACATTTGACAGCGTTTACAGAGTAATAAAGCAGCCTGTGAACAGCAGGCCGAATTCCATTTACAAGGCAAAATGTGGTACTGAGTAAGATGTCAGAGTTACGTGTTTCTCAGTATCTGGAAGGTTCAAGAAGTGTGTCTAGGGCTTTACGTTTTAACAGAAAGGCGTTGTTGATTTAAAGGAGGGGCTCTTGTGACGGCCCCTCCCCCATCTTTCTTGTCAATGTCATTTTCTCAATTTTAGTTGACATTTTACCAGATCTCAGTTTAAAACAGTTCATTTTTTCCTCATATGGTTACAAAATCCTTGGGTGATGATGATGATGATGATGATGATGATGATGATGATGATAATAATAAAAAATATTATTAATAGGTCAAATTCACAGCCAGAATTCTTTAGCTCCTTTCTAACATTTAGCTTCTGTTGTTGAATCAAGACGTTCTAAGAACTTGCTGTGCTCTTTATATAACAAAAAAAATGGGAGGGATGCATTTTTATTTCAGTTTTAATACGTATCCCAGGAACGTCTAACTTGATTAGGCAGCGAGCTGGATTTTGTCATGTTTCAATGTCAGTATTTGAACTCGATTTTTATAATGAAATTATGACAATAAAATGTTAGTAGATACAACAGTTAAAAAGCAGCAGCTGCTGTTTTTTTTTGTCTTATGTCTGACACCTATTTGGATGAATGTATCTGCAGGTTTAAGCGTGTAGCTCATCTGCCTCACCAGTAAGCCAGTGGGTGAGAGGGCAGCTCCCAGTGGAGCGGCTTATCCAGAAGGGCTCCTTATTGTCACTGATGCTGGCCTCTTGCGCATATATATTTTTCCAGTTTGTAAAATTCATACAGCCCAATGTAAACTCCCATGCACTCTGAAGAATGTGGTTTGACATTTCATATCTTACTGTTGGCTTTGTAGAAACACTGCTTGCCTTTGATCATGGCAAATTTATCCTACCTAACAAATTACTATTGAAGCTTTTAGTATTATGATTTTTGAAAAAATAAATTGACTTGTTACTAGTGTTCATGGAAAACCAGTATTCTGAATTGCAGTTCTTGTATGTCTGCCTGTGGCAAAGGTTTTTAATTCAGCTTATTTGGGTGGCGCGTGGCTCTGTGCATTGGGCCCTTGAACAGGGCCCCTAGCCCCATTTTCTCCGGGGACACTGACTGACACTGCTCGCTGATCCAAAATTGTATATCACTTTGGACAAAAGCGTGTGTTAGATAAATGTAAATGTTGTTTGCCCGTTAATTTCGTGTTCCCTCTTATTTGTAAAACAAGATCCTGAAACATTGAAACCCTCTCACAAAGGGTTGACACCCCCCCCGGAAGGTAGTGATTTTGATCCCAGTTGCTTCTTACGCTGGGTTCCATTTACCTCGGAAGTCGGAACTATGATTGTCGTCAACCACAAGTTAACCATGTTTCAGTACGACAAGTCAGGAAGCCATTTAACAATACCAGGGACTTGTTTCAAAAAGCAAGATTTCTTGCTTAGCCAAATTGTTGGATTTACTTTACCCCAGTTTAAATGGCCTTTATCTTCATTCACTTACATTTCGCCCAGACTGCCTTAAATTCAACAAGCTATCCGGCTAAGCAAGAAATACTTGTAAATACAAGTAAAGTTACAGCTTTAACTTCTGTTGATGAAGGGCACAGCCATCTTGAATTCTGAGGTTGGGGTTGTATAGATTCGGAATTCCAGCTTCCAGTAGAAATTTCTGACTAGGAATTCAGCATTTCTGAGTTAAGAGTTCAAATGGAACGCAGCATTACTCTGCATTGAATTGCATCGAGTGATGGAGGTTGTGATTGGATGATGCCGGAAGCACAGCACCATGTACAAAAAGCAGAAATGTTATCTCTAGTTTCCCTTCCACTCACGGCTGCATCTTGACATCCCCTCCGTGAAAATCACAAGCAGGAAGCACCCCGACAGAGACCAGCACACACTCCACACGACGCCAGTTTCGTGCCAAGTATGCAGATGCAGCTCCTGCTATGACCATACAGGAACTGTATGCCTTAGCATTGGTCCAGAAACTATGCTTTTTCTCCTCTTTAATCTAAGGTTCAGCCATCAGTCTCCTCTGGTGTTCTGGCATGGACTTTTCCAAAGTGGCTGAGAAATGTCTCCCCCTCCTTTCAATTGGAATCAACCTTCTGGTATTTTTTATTTTTTTTTAAATGGGGACCACCCCCCTGTTTGCCAGTCCAGAGGTGTTTTACCTGGTGAAATACTGAAATGGCAAGTCAGCTGTATCACCAACAATATCTGTTTCTTTCAGTAGCTTGGGAAGGACCTCATTCGTCCAGCTTCTCTTGTTCTCTCAATTGATCAAATTGTCATTGTCATCGTCCCGTAGGCAAAATGGTACCTCCTCTTCCTGAATTCTGAGGCATGTGTGTAAAACGTGGGAGGCTTTTAAAGGTTTAAACCCAGGTATTTTGCAAATTGAGGCATTTTATATGTTTGTTTACATGCATGAGCACACTCAAAGTTTGCCCTGTTGTTTGTTCATTTTGTAGAGTAGAAGCCAATATGTGAGTGCAGTTCAAATACAAGACGACGTATTTATGGTAGCCTTTATCCTGTAAAGGGCTTTATGAAAATTAGGGGAAGTACAGATGGATGGATGATATAGCATACATATTTACAAAATGAAATAGGAAATAAATGTTATCCTTCTGAAAAATGTATTCCTATTGCTAATTTGTTGTCAGGGACATTTAAATTTTCAGTCTGTCTATATTTGGACAAACATGTTTGTACACCGATGAACACGCACGTCTATGTCGGTGGCAAAATATTTTGATTGAGAGGAAAAAAACTATTTATGCTACCATTTTAAATGCCAAGTCCGGGGTAAAAATTGCATTTTGATCAAAATGTCCATCAGAATTTGTTGTGGTGTTGACCCCTGAGTTAAATGGATAGATGGATGCATGGGTTGATGGAGGGTTGAGTATCTGAAGTATTTTATTGTTACTCTTCATACTGTCGGTAGTGGTTTTTCCATGCAGGCACTTTCTTCTTGCTCATTTGGTTACCATAGCAACGTTATCCCAGGATTTGTGTCCACTCTTTCCTCATTTGGTTCATAATTCTGGTAATTGTGAGGGTTTTATGCATGCTTTTCTGCAAATGCAAAAATACGCCCTTTTTGGTCTGTGGACATGTTTATTTGCATGTTGTGTGTGGGCATGTGTATATATTATGTTTTGGTTATGGTTAAGGCTTGGGCTGGATAGGGGTTAAGGTTAGAAATGAATGGACAGTCCCTACAAAGATACGAGTGTGTGTGTGTGTGTGTGTGTGTGTGTGTTTGTGCTGAAACAAAAACCTGGATTTAGGAATTATAAGGAGCTTTTACACGCAGAAATTCATTGAAAGCTGATGTCACTGAGTGATTTTGTTTTATTTTTATTTTTTCAATTTGTCCGCCACAATCTATCCCAGCTAATTCTCTTTCTCCATCCCCCCTTCACAGATATAGGTGTACTTCATCCTGGGGCGTATTCCGTTCTGACGTTATCTGACCAAGGAGGAATTTTTTTTTTTTTTTACACCATGACAGACAAGTAAGTTTCAATTTATTTGCTTGATCTGAACACATGTTTGTATTGTGTTTTTATTGCCAGGTGACCTTGAGTGAATTGGTTCTTCATGTTTGTTTGGCCCCTCATGCTCCGCTATTAAAGCCCTGCTGACACTAAAATCAAGGCCGCACAAAGTGTCTCTGTGAGACATGCGATTTGCATCGGGCCTCATTTGCATCCTCATTTTCTCCGGTATGTTTGTAGCTGTTTCTGGCTGCCTTTTGTTTTGCCGTTGGGGTTATTATTTCTCCGCCAGTTTTTAGCCCAGCTCGGGGAGCTGGTGTTCACACAGTAAACAGTAAAAAATAATCGCAGGAGATATTTAGCCCGAGTGACAACATAAGCTCGTCTTAAGAATACCGGCAGCTAGGCTTAAACTTGGCATATCATTAGAGTGCTTTTGTTAGTCTGCATTCGTAGTTCAGTGTTTGTGTCTGGGGTATTGGAATGAAACTTGATTATATGTTGCACGGCCAGTGATGCATTTCTCAGTGGCTGGCTGTGATAAGCCCCCGTCTGCACCATCTTGCCAGCGGCTCGCTGAGCTGCACCTGTTACCAGGATCATGCAAAAAAAAAAAAGAAAAAGAAAACGAAAACGGTGATGGCTGAATGCAGTGGCACTTGTCTTAAGCAGTGTTTCCCAGTCTAGGTCCTCGGGG